AGTCGATTTTTATAGCAAATATACGTTTGTTTCATCGACAATTCCATCAAAAGAATATGATATGGCAAAATGTCCTGGCCTTCCTTGAAAATTCACATTTGCCCTGTGACCCAAAAGGCGTTCGTGACTCCCGCTGAAAGTGTTGATAAGACTGATGCGAAGTCGAAACTGCAGTCCACTTCTATGCGGATGATAACAACTTTTGGGAAAGCAAGGCTATGTGAAATTCAATGGAAACATCAGCTCAACTCATATCATTGTGGGTCTACCAGTCCTTCATCACCTTAAACGAAATTGGGTGAATACATCTCATATTACTGACTTACTGATAGTCACGAAAACAATACTTAATTGGAAAAACAAACAATTTCTTGGTTTTTATATATAATGAGGAATTCATTAAAGAATGCAAACCATAAAGACCTTGAAGGCATGAAGTTTAGCACAGGTTCATCAGAGCCGCATGACTATGAGCCAATGGCTTCTTCGCACAATACAACAATCTTCCCTACGCGGCAATTCTCCTTCGGATTCCGGCGAGACCACATCACCAATTCCTCGCAACCAACTTCTTTTTTTCGAAATGGAAGGTCATGTCATGATAGTCCTCCCTCAGTTCGTGATGAGGCCAATTGACAAATCCCTTCCAATCGGATGTTGCCACCATATGTAGGGTGCAATTACATGAAATCATCAAGGTAATATGCAACATGTGCTTGTGACAATATCGCGAAACTTCCATCCGGTCACAAGCGGAATAGGGAAACACTAGGTTGCTAGGCCTCGTAATATGTCTGCAATTTGGCGATGAAGTTGAAACTGTAACAATAGTAGTGATTATAAGACCAATAAACTGAAGAGAAGGCTCGGTTTCCCTTCCTTCCTTGGCAAGCCTGTGAAGTGGAATGGGAACGTCGACAACATACTCACAACACGGTATCGATAAGTGGGAGGGTCGAAACCGCAATCAAGTCTAAATGAGATAGCCTTTTCCGAAAATTGCTGATATTCTCGAAAGCTACTCACATAAAAATGGGCTATTTTCTCCCAGATCACACGATTTAGGATCACGAAAGGCTTGGCTGTTAGGAGAAAGCAAGTATCAGCATATGACAAAACTCCGGGTTCCAATGACTCCTTTTCTTGGGATTGTCATTCCGTACGATACTTCGTATGGGAGAAATTCATTTATTTAACTCGTTGGAAGCTGGGATGCGCAGAATCCGTTTAGAGCTTCCGTTCTTCTGCTTCCTAGTGACACGTCTTGCCGGAGCCAAAATCCATCATTTAACGAACTTCACCATAAACCTAAGCTATAGACGGTGGTCGGATGGAATCCTCTCTACTTGTGACCTTATTGAGGTATACGGTGCTCTGGCCGGCTGGCTGAATGTTTTTGCCTAAACTGTCACACTCAACTCACAAGTAAATCGGCTACTTTCTGTCGATAGTCAACTGTGCGTCTGCGGTCAGCCTCAACGTTTTGCAAACGTGCGATTCGTACTCTGTTTTATCGAGGCCCCCCCGAGCTAGCTCCCCGATACTATTCCCGCCGGAAGAGCAGATGCGACGTTGAGTAGATGTGACGTTGCAGCCCAGGCCGGATGAGAATGGCTTTTTGGCAGGCCTGGCGCGGAATATTACAATGCCAAAATCAATCTTTTTCCTCGGTTCATTGGGTTCCCTGTAACACTTTACACCACTCCTTCACTTCCTGATAGACGCAAGAAAATGACCAGTTAACCGACACTATCGACAGTCAAAAGTTGTACATTGCGAACATCAAGTGTAACTCAAGTGTAGACCTATCAACTCCGTTTGCACCAGGCATTGGAGTCATGTATGGCGGCTACAGACTTATACATTTTACCGAGTGCTGAATTTTGGTAGATACAATGCAAATGTGTTGGTTCGACCTTGTTTTTGCAACTTGGAATGTACCTAATCCCGTGTTCCTTGCCATAGTATTCGTGATTTCCAACATCGAACCATTCCCAAGTGTTTCGCCGGCGCTATTGTAAGCACAGAATTATAACTTATCAAAATGACAAGTCAAAGCAATGCTCTATTCTACCATTGTGGCATCCCTCCTCTCCCCCATTTTTTGTTCTGCCTCCTAGTGTTGCATCCCTTTACCACAACCACACTTCATATGGCCCATCCACTCATTCACACGATTCTGCACATTTACGAAGGTACCAATTCAAGGATCAGATACTGGAAATCACGAATAATATTTCAGAGGACTCACGACTAGGAACGTTCCACAAGGTCGCATCGACGCTCCCACCAAGCTGTGAAAACAAGGTCGAACCAACACCACAAAGATACAGAAGACTGCGACACCATCTTGGTCGTCATAACGGCAACAATGCAAGTTTGTTCAATATCCGAGAGTCAGGCTCAAACACAACAACAATCTTCTCAGCACTGGAAACTAACGATGCTCTCGGAATGTGAACCTCTCGTGCAAAAGACCTTTTCCCTTCATAATTGGTATTTTGGTTGTGCGCTTCAAAGAGTTTTCATGCAATTTAACTCATTTAGAATAGAGCAGTTGCTTCACTCGCCTAAGACTGTAAAAACTGATAAATATTCATAGGAAATTGACCTCGAGACTCTCAGTTCTAGTTTACTAAGAAATCTATTCAGCCTGGATGGTGTAAGATGACAAAGGTATGATATTTAGATTTTCCCACGATTATATGACTAGGCCTCATTTTGTCATCGAATTTCAATTAGCCTTGCTTCCAAATAGGTATTCTCATCCAGAAAACGATTACTGTTTAGTATGTGGTGAAATTTAATGGTGGTAGAAAAGAGCAGTAGACTCCTGTCTGAATTAGTCTACTTTTTGCGAAGCAAGTCTAAGCAAAATCCATTTGTACTTTCAGAACTTTTGTTCACAAATTCAGTCCCTCTTCACATTAGGCAAAGTAAAGTGACTGTAAAACAAATAAATTTTTATAGAGGCCGTTCGATCTAGGCTTGAGAATTTTCAGATCACGATTCTGAAATTCGACCCGAAATAGAGGACGCCAAGACACTTCAGCTAACGAAGTATTTTATGTTTTCCTTTTATAGGTAGATTCTCGAAACTACCATTCTATCTGATAAAAGAGCTGTGCTCAGCCAACTTCGTTTCAGGTGATTAAAGAAAGGATATTGAATTTTCCCATAAACATACGAATAGGCCTAGACTTTAACAAAAATTATATTCTGACCTGTAGCCAAAGGAAACTGGTGGTAGGGGAGCTTATTGATTAATGTGACGAAACTCTACGCTGGCTGCACCACCCAGGTTTGAGTCCCGCTAAAGATATTGATGATACTAAAGGCGAGGTAAAAACTGCGGTGCACATGAATGAGAATGCCTTTGGGAGGAAAGGATATGTAAAACTTAATGAGAACTTGAGGCATATTCATGATTGTGGGGAAATTAAAATACTCTTTCTTCATCACCTTAAACAAAACATCTCTTATGTTTTTTGTATGTTGTAAAACACAAAGTTAGATTTCCTATCAAATATAACAGATGATAAAGTATTTTGAATTTTAGGAATGGGAGTAAGAAGTTAGGCAACAACAATTTGTGCTTTATTGATGACGGATAATAAGGAGGTAGAGCCCCCTTCTGAATGATGCCACACTTTCTCAGAAATA